CAGCAGCCCCGAGGCCCACGGCACCTCCCACAGGTGAGTGAGGGGTGCTCTTCCCATTGACTGAACTGGCAAGAGGGGCGGCGGGAGGCCCTGCTCAGCGAGCTCCCGCTTCCCCGCGCTCTGTTGTTTCTCTGCTTGCTGAATGGGCCCTAACCCTCTTCTTGTCTCTGTCCACTTTTCTTGCAGCCGCTGTGAGCGCTTGCCCTGCCATGAGAATCAGGAGTGCCACAAGCTGCCTCTGAGAATAACCCGCTACCACCTCTCTTTCCCCACCAACATCCAAGTGCCCGCGGTGGTTTTCCGCATGGGCCCCTCCAGTTCCGTCCCTGGGGACAGCATGCAGCTGGCCATCACCAGCGGCAATGAGGAGGGCTTTTTCACCACCCGGAAGGTGAGCCACCACAGCGGGGTGGTGGCCCTCACCAAGCCCGTCCCTGAGCCCAGGGACTTGCTCCTGACCGTCAAGATGGACCTCTATCGCCATGGCACCGTCAGCTCCTTTGTGGCCAAGCTTTTCATCTTTGTGTCCGCAGACCTCTGAGCACTTGCTTTGGGCCCTGGGGCTCTCTCTTGTCGCTTTCCTAACCCTCCTTGCCGGGATTTGAATAAAGTTTAGCAGATGATCCCACCCCGCATGCCTTGCGTGCCTTGGTTTTATTTGGTGCGGTTGGGAGTCTCTGTGTTGCTTATCATCTGGGGTGAGCTGGACACTTGCTGCTGTCCTGTGCCCGCAGCGGGTGACTGAGGGTTGTTTTCCATAAGGGGGTGCACGCCTGGGAGTGTCTGTTGATGGAGGTCACTGTATGTACCTCCTGGGAACCCAGGCGAGGGAAGAACAAGGTTCCGAGCACCGAGTCCGATGAGTTCTCTCTCCTCCGTTTTGAGCCCAGAAGTTGAGGTGATGATGGAGAAGGGCCCTCAGAGCGCAGCGAGCTCCATCCCCTTTCATTTTACAAATGTGGAAACTGAGGCCCAGAGAATGGGAGGAGCTTGGCCAAGGTCACATGGCCTATGTGTGGCAGAGCCAGGCTTCAGGCTCCAGCTTGGTTTCCTTGCTATGTGTCGCCTGGAGCTGAACATGTCATGGAGGCAAAACAGAGGGCGGTGGGGGCGGGGAGGGTGTGCACATGCGCACGTGCAAAGCAAGTTTGCTGTTCATCCCACGAGAAGCCTGACTTCGTGGTGGAAAACAGAGCACTGGATGTGGCTCTTGCTGAAGTGAGGTCAGCGCGTCTGCTGAGAATGTGTCCGAGCCGGGAGGGGGCAGTGAACGCGCTGCTCGCGGGAGCCACTGGGTGGTCGTCCGGCCCAGCACAGGCATTGCCTCCAGGCTCGTGAGGCAAGTGTCGGCCACTGGGAGACTCAGAGAGGGTGAGGGATTTGCCCAAGATCACACAGCTGGCGTTCGTCCCTCGGGTTGCGGACTGCGCAACTCCGACTGTCCCGCTCTGTCACCGCACCTCCAGTGTGGCCTCTGACCCACCTGCCTCCCTCCCTCTCCACCACGATCCCAGCCAAGCCACTGTCCCCAGTGGGTCCTTCAAGGACCTGCATGATTTAGTTCTGTGTGCATCTTCACTCTTACCTCACATGGTTGTCCACTTGCTCACTTCCCTCTGGCCCCACTGACAAGCTCTTTGCTGCCTCAGGTCCTTTGCTGACGCTTTGTGGCCTGCATGTGGGTTAAACTGCAGCTGAAGTGTCTTCTCAGAGAGGCCTTCCATGGGCTTACGCGTCTTCTGTCAGTCTTTCTCCTATTGCTCCCTTTGTGGTGATTATCACAGTTCTTAACGGCCATTCCTTCTGTCTCCCCCCACCCCCGACCCCACCCCACCCGGAAAGCTCCGTGAAGGCGGGGACCAAGTCTGTCTCATTCAGTGCCGTGTCCCCAGCTCCTAGCAAGATGCCTGGCACATAGCAGGGGCTCTGTCCATGGATTATTTTGGAAATGAGTAAAACTACACCCAAGGCCATGGCAGGTATACGGTAGGCAGTCAGTGAGTGTTGGTTTCTTTACTCATTGGTCGGTACTGGAGTGTTCGTTTGGATCTCAATTTAGATGGGGAGTGAACGTTCAGAGGGTTTGGATGTACCCAAGGTCCTCGATGTGTAGAGCTGCCATCCCTTCTGACTCCCAGACCTGCATGCATCTGACTGAGTCACTGTACCAAGCCGAGCTCCCAAGGGGAAAGGATCATAAACGTGACTGTCGTTATGATGATGATGGCAACAACTCTGACTCGCATACTGCTCGCTGTGGGCCAGGCCCTGTTCCAAGCACTTCACTAACCCTCACGACAGGCTTGCAGGGAAAGCCCTGTGACGACCCCCATTTCACAACGAAGACGTGGAAGCATAGAGAGGTTCAGTCGCTTGCCCAGAGTCCTCGCAGCTGGCACTGGGGGTCTGTGCCCGGAAACACCGCTCATGCCGCCTCAAATGCTGTGAAGAGGCAGGGTTGCTGGGATTAGTCTGTGCCAGGCAGGTGTTCCCCCAGCCTTGTCTCGGGAAGCCTGGGCACCAGCCCTATCTGTACTTTCCAAGGACAGAGTGGGACATTTCGTGAGTTACAGAGGGAGGCAGCGTGGTGTAGAGGAAAGAGCTGCAAAGTCAAATGGGGCAGTGGGGGCCGAGTGTTGAGCACAGAGGTTCCGGGAAGACGGAGGGTGCAGCCCCGAGTGTTCGCAGCTCTCCGGATCCCAACCAAACCACACAGAACGACTAGGTGAGGAATGTTTAAAATCCCTGGACTGCGTTTACAACTAAACAAGGTGACAGCGTACCCCACGGACCCCAAAATACAGTTCATGCCCACCTGCGTGGGCTTGGCATGCATGCAGGAGAAAGCAGTGGGAAACCCCAAAACAGTTCACGAGTATCCCGTACAGAGCCTGGTAGACCGATCTGGGGACAGCAGTTGAGACTGGGAGTTGTTTTGCCCCCTCCCCCCGCCATCGGCTGTGTGCGCAGGGGCTCATGGAAGGATTAGAGAGCGATCCAGCCAGTAGGAGTTCTTGCAACTGAACCACCAGGGGTTCCCTGAAGCGCAGGATCTCACACTATGCGAAAATTGCTGGAGATAAAGCAGGAAATTGAGCAGAAAAGACACAATAGGGACGATGGGGATAGAAGTCCAGGTTACAGGAAGATCAGAGAGCAAGCTGCCAAAAATGACAGACGAGGGAGCTCTCTGAAGTTAGAAAACAAAACAAAGGGTGGGGGAGGACCCAAACCCCCCACTCTGAACCATGCCTCTTCCAAAAATTTTAGGAAGACTAGTTTCACATAAAAACATTCAACCGAAAGCTGCGAAGGTTAAATCTCCTACAAAGTTATTGTAAGAAAAAGAGAGACTAGAACAGATGAACATGCCTCTGGGTAATGAAAATTCCAGAAGGACATGCTCGCGGACCAGATTAAAACTGTAGCCTATGTCAAAGCACTGAGAAAATGATCAAAATGGAAGAACATTGTAAGTCAGAATTAGGAACTCAGGAAGTAACTTCATATCAAAGCAAAAAGCAATTTCCAAAACATACTGAAAGGAAAGACACAAAAGGATAGTGACTGCAATGGATAGAAACGCTCCAGATAGTTTAAGTCCTTGAGTTCATACCGATATTGAAATCATCCATTGGTAACCTCTGGATGATGATAGACAGCTAGTTTGTTATCCTGAAAACTGGTCAATAGTAGGGAAGAATCCAGTGTTGATCTCCCTTTCCCTCTGTGAACTATACCCCCTGGAAACCAGATTGCATAGGAAGGGCAGCATCTTGTTACTGAAGTTTTCCAACCAATAAACGAAACAGATACAGCAGAGTCAGCTGACCAGCGTTCTGCAGCCCCTGACAAATCGGTGGGTCTTGGCTCTGACGGCACAGGACAGACCAGACATCACGTGTGCCCTGATGGAAGACATGCCACCAACTGTCACCTGGCCGACGGGACCGGGCTGCCTCTGGCAGGGTCTGGGTCAGTTGCCGGTGGGCAGGCCGCGCCCGGGAGGGGAAGGCGCTGAGCTGCATGGCGAGCGCACAGGCGGCGAGCGCACAGGCGGCGAGCCCGGACATGGGGAGGGCTCCGGCCCTCGTGCCGTTCCTTAGCAGACACAATGTGGAAAGCGGGGAGGATGGAGAGGAAACCCATAGGTTATGAAGGGCTAAAAAGACGTAACAAAAGAATTGTAACGGGCAAGTCTAAATGATTGTGCCCTAAGAGGCACACTTGTCTGATAGAAACTGTAAAGAAACCCAGGGAAGCCGTTGCCGGGAGGCTGGGGGCAGGGGCTGTGGTAGGGGTGCCGGAGGGGTCGGCCTGGCCACGGGAAGGGCCTCAGGGGGCTGGCGACTCTCTCTTTCTTGACCTGAGTGGTAATTATAAAGGCATTTGCCATATAATACTTACTAAATATAGCTTTGTTTAGTGCAGCATTTGCATTTTATTTGATGATAAAAAGGTTTGAAAAGTATACCTAGCACAAGGCCTGGAATGTAGACCTGTAGCAAACTACACCTTTTCTTCCCCCTCCCTGCCTGTGATATGACGCTGTAGACCTGACTTTTTTGTGCTGAGCACAGAGCTGGGCACTTCGCATACGACCCGCGCGACGCCCCGACGGAGGGCCCCGGGGAGGCGGGGCCCCCTTGGTGAGCCGGTGCCTGGCATCTGCGGGCGCTCAGACTTGCTGAGCAAGTGAGTGCACGTGTTCGCTGCTGCGCAAATGAGCTTGGTTCGCACAGTCGGCAAATGGCAAAGCCTCCCTTATCCACGGCCAGGGAGATGGAAGCTGGGGCGCGTCTCTGGCCCTTGGGTGCTGGTCCAGTTTGCAGGAGGGGCCCTGAGGCCTCCCCATGGGCAGCCAGGCTGTGGAGGCCACTGGTTCCCGGGGAGCCATCGTGGGCCGGGCGGCCTGGGCGGCCTGCGCTCCTCCCTGGGCCCTGCCTCTGCGGGAGTGCCGGGTCCGGCTTTCCCACCTCCTGTGCTCTGGTTCCCCTCAGGCCCCACCAGGACAAGACAGACACCATCCGCTGCATCAAGTCCTGCCGCCCCAATGACGTCTCCTGCATGTTGGACCCCGTGCACACCATCTCCCACACTGTTGTCTCGCTGTCCACCTTCCGCGAGTTCACCCGCCCAGAAGGTGAGTGGGGTCCCCCACAGCTCGGAGTTGGCTCAGGGGTCCCAGGGGAGGCCAAGCCACTGTCTAGGGAGGCTGCCTTCGAGGCAGCCACTCCTGCGTAAGATGTGGGCTTGGGGTGTGAAATGTAGCCCTTCCCCAACGCAAACCTCTCCTCTGGTCCCCAGACTGTGTGACAGCGCGTGGCCCACCCCGGGGCTCAGGGTCTCTTATGGGTTAGTCATTCAGCAAATAGTGGTTAAGCGTTGACCCTATACCAAGCGCTGGGGAATCTGGGAGGGCCTCCAGGAGGCAGTGGCTTCTACTCTGGGTCCTGAGTGGTCCATAGGAGGCAATCGAGTGAACCAGGGAGCAGGGGGAGAGGGTGCCAAGCAGAGCAAGCAGAACGCGTCTGGGAAGGTCTGGAGGCAAGTGTGGAGTCGTGGACGTCTGAGGAACTAAGCCTGGTTTTTCTGGCTGGAGCAGCAGAGGCTTCGTGAGACATGAGTTGAAGGATACGTGAGACCCTGGCAGGAGCTCACCATCACCCTGGACGCCCAGGCACAGGCGGACTGGAGGGGTAGACTGGATGCAGGGAGCCCAGGAGCAAAGGGCTCAGCGCTCCCGTGCCCACCCCCCTGTGGGGAGCTCCTGGCCTGCCCTGGAGACCCGTGTGTCAGCGCTGTCGCTGCGTGGGGCTGGGGGCGGCCTGTGCGCCGTGCCCGCAGGGGCTGTGGCCGGGGTCCTGCACGGGGCAGGCCAGGAGCTCCCCACAGCAGGGTGGGCGCGGGAGCGCTGACCCCTTTGCTCCTGGGTTCCCTGCACCTTGCTTTGGGCGGTGCAACCCCCACCCATGCCAGCGCTGGTGTGGTCTCCATCCACCCCCTTCCTCTTCGCAGTCTTCATCCCTGGCCTTCGGAGGAGCTGGCTGAGCTTGTCACTCCACGAACACACACCACGCCTCCCGTGGGTCGGGCCCAGGGCCACCCTGTGGGGTCCGGGGGATGAGCACGGGCCCTCAGCCCCTCCCGGGGAGGACAGTTCAGCCGGCACAACCGCGCCCTGTGCTTCCGCCTGGCAGGTCCCACCGGGGGTGCAGGGCACATGCCAGAGCTTAAAGCCTGGCCGCGGGGGCAACGAGGGCAAGAGAGGCCCCGAGGACACAGGTGCGGAAGGGCGGCCAGCCAGCCTCCAACCCACTGCCTTGCTCCGGGGAGGCGCAGGACCTTTGCAGGGTAGGATAGACCTGGGTCGGAGAAGGTCGCTGCCTGGTGTTTGTCTCGAGCCAAACGACGGGTTCCACTCAACCACAGGCAAATCCTTCCCGGGGCGCCAACGGCCTCTTCCGTGCTGGTCAAAGTTGGTTCCACAGGGAGCTGGCCATGGCTAGAGACACCTGTGCCCATCTTGGGCCCAGGAAACCCAGACCTTGGCCTTTGGTGTTGAAAGGACCCTTAGTAGGCACAGGCCAGCTGCCTCCTTCCCTTTACCAATGAGGAAACTGAGACCCCCAAGAGGGGACGCCCTCAAGATGGCCCAGAGCCAGGGGACAGTTGGGGCCTTGTGCTCCAGCCCAGGGTAGCTGCCCCGCTCCCTAAGCCAGGCGGTCTGGGAGATGGACAAGCCAGCCAACGGCCTGGCCCACCCACGTCACCATGGGCAGGAGGCCAGCCTGCTCCCTTGCCCTTCCTGACCTGTCTCCCATTGTCCCCTTGTGCACCTGCCGTCCCTGTCTTCCCAGCTGCATGAAGATTCATGGCTAATTACTAGTTACTTTTTAGTGCTGGCTCTGTTGCCGATTAGCTCCTGACCTCATAAAAGAGCCAAAAATCTCTCCAGGCCGCTGTTTCCCTGTTGGTAGGAAGGGGGGTTGGGCTATGACCTATGGGTCCTCAGGGCCCGCCCACTTCTACATGCAGGGGGTCCTGTTACCGCGTGAGGGCTTGCTGCCCAGTGGGCCTGGAAGCCAACGCTAGGGCACTGGCTCGGAGAAAGGAAAGAGCTCTTATCTGTGAGCTCAGCTGCAGGGGGACGGGAGGCGGGGCTCCAGGGCCCCCCAGAGCCAGGGTTCGGGCGGGACCTAATGGGCTTCAGCACCAGCTCTTCCTGGACAAAAGAGCCCTGGCTTCTGAGAGGGTTCCGGCCCTCAGGTTCTAGTCCCCATGAACCTTAAGGGCCTATGAGTTGCTTGTGTGTAGGGTTCACGTGTTACTTATTGTGGAGTTCACGTGCTACTCGTGAGTGGTGTTCACGTGGTACTCATTAGTGGGATTCACGTGTTACTTATTGTGGAGTTCACGTGGTACTCGTGAGCGGTGTTCACCTGCTACTCATGAGTGGTTTTCAGGTGGTACTCGTGAGTGGGGTTCACGTGTTACTTATTATGGCGTTCACATGGTACTCGTGAGCGGTGTTCACCTACTCGTGAGTAGTGTTCACGTGGTACTCGTGAGCGGTGTTCACTTGCTACTCATGAGTGGTGTTCACGTGGTACTCGTGAGTGGGGTTCACGTGTTACTTATTGTGGAGTTCATGTGGTACTCGTGAGCGGTGTTCACCTGCTACTCGTGAGTGGGGTTCACGTGTAACTTACTGTGGAGGTCATGTGCTACTGATGAGCAGTCTTCACCTGCTGCTCGTGAGTGGGGTTCACGTGGTACTCGTGAGCGGTGTTTATAAGTATCCCTCACGCACAGAGCAAACTGGCTCTGGGTTTAGCTCTAGAGAGGACGGGCCAGGCGGAGCTCGTTCTCAGTTCTGGCTCCTCGCGTGGGGCGCGCAGGACCGAGGGCAGGCCGAGACCCTTGCTGCGCCCTTGCCCACACCTTGCCGCCCGCTCGCAGAGATCATCTTTGTCCGGGCCATCACACCAGCCTACCCCGCCAACCACGCTGACATCATCTTCGACATCACGGAAGGGAACCTGCGGGACTCCTTCGATATCGTCAAGCGCTACATGGACGGCATGACCGTGGGTGAGTGGCCCGGGACGTGCGGGTCTGCCCTGACGCCCTCTCCTCCTCCCAGCCCATTGTACCAATCGGGCGGGCAAACCTCTCGGGACCAGCCCAACTCCTCCCTGAGTCCTCTTCCCAAATCTGAGCTCGCTCTTGCCTCAGGGTTCAGCTGGAACCTCGAGTCCCCGCAGCCAATCCCCACGCACAGGGGCGCCCGGGGTGGCAGAGCCTGTCTGGGACCCACCTCAGCTGAACCACCAGTTCTCCAGACGACCCCATGGGCCCCAGGCTCCCCCTCTGCCCGCCCCACTAGTGGGTGGGTAACTAGACCTCTGCACCTCACGGCCATAAATTCCAGACAAGATCACCGGGCGAAGCGCTGGTCCTCGGGCTCAGCACAGCCCCCTGCTCCTTGGAGCTAACGCGGCTCTGTTCTCGTGGCGCGATGCCGGGACGGCCAGACGAGGCGCAGAGGACCTGCGCGCCGGTCTCGCCCCAGAACCGGCCTGCCTCGCTCACGGCCAGTCGTCCCCTTCCGTGGGTCAGTCCTTCAGGAAACAGAGCTTGGTTGTGGAGTGCGCGTAGGCGCAGCCGCCTGGCGGTGGGGCCTGCTGGAGGCCAGCGCCCTGGGCGCACCGGGCGGGCGGGGAGAGCGACGGCAGCGCGGGCTGTGGCAGCTGAGCTCAGGCCTCAGCGAGGACGGAGGGGAAAGGCGCCGTGTGAGTCCGGGGAGCTGGTGTGCAGTCTCTCCCCGAAACTGTCTCACTGCCGAGTTCAGGCTCCCGGGGCCTGAGGCTCACAGCTGCCCTTTTGGACTTAGATTTAGACTCTGAACGTTTCCAAAAAAGCTGAGTGACCAAGGGCCGGGCCCTGGCCTCCCCTGGGCCTCCATTTGCTCACCGTGGTCTCCTGGGCCCCGTGGTCTTGCCCCGGGACGGCGTCCGGGCTGGTGGGCCCAGCAGAGCGTTTTGGAGCGTGGCCTCCAGGTGGTGCTGTTGGACCTCAAAACCCGCATCTGTGAAGCCCAAACCCGACCACGCTTCAACTGGCAGCTGGAGACAGGGGATCGTTATTCCCGTTGCCAAAGGGCCATTTATAGCAACTTTACAAGCTCTTAAATGGGTTTCCGTGTTGTAAACACGACTGAGTCACTGGGGGACCCCCCACCCCCAGCCACCGCCTCCGCTCGTTGGCAACAGGAATAATTAGTTAATTACGATTAATGCTACAGGAGCCCTCCCTGGGAGCCCGAGGGGAGGGCACGCGGTGTGGTGGTTAGCGTCCTGAAACGAGCAGCTTGCCCTGGAGTCCCTGCCCACGCGGTCCTCAGTTTCCCCATTGTTAGAGACCCTTTAGGGCCTTCAGGCACCTGGAGATGAGGATAGGCGGGAGGACGTAGGGGGTCAGGGTCTGTGTGGCGGGGTAGGGCCAGGGTGAGCCTCCAGAGGACGCATAGAAGCCCGCCTGGTGCCAGCAGGGGGCTGTGGAACGGCCGCCCCGGGGGTAATTCACAGCGCGGGGAACCTGGGGTGGGACTCCAGCCTCCTGGAGCCCCCTGCACTGGGCCCTTGCCGGGCTGTAGATGCAGAGTCGGGCGAATACCACGCGGGCATTGCCCCTAGGGCCCCCCGTTCCAGTGGGGCGGGGGGCGGGTCATGGAAATACGGCACTGAAGCAGGCGTGCACAGGGACAAGGGCACGTCCCCATGGCCTGCGAGGGCTCTGTGGGGGCAGTGGGGGGTTCCCTGTAGTATTTGGGCCTTCAGCTCCCAGCAAAGTCCTCCCTGCAGCGACCCAAGCTAGAAGGTTGGGCAGCCACTGGCCCGGCCCAGATCCAGGGCGAGCCAGCACGTTTTTTAGCAGCATCCATACGCTAAACAGAACCAACCTGGGAGGTCCTCTTTCTTGGCTTCCCATCCACTGGGGCAGAAAATCCGCATGTCAGGGCCTCCTGGCACCCATCTCTGCTCCAGGGGAAACTGAGGCCCACAGGGGCAAGGGTGCTTGCTGGTCGTCTCACAGCGACTCGGGCTGGGGGCAGTGGCGGAGGGTAGGCACGGAACAGAGCTCTGGGGGTGTGAGGCGACCACCGGTGCCACCCCCGCTTCCTGGGAATGGAATGTGGGCAAGGCCGCAGGGCTGGGCGGCTGCCGCTCACTGTGCTTGGTCACGCGTGCCCTGGTCTGTGGAATTCCAGCTGGGGCTGCGGGCAGAGGGCCCTGGTGGCCTAGGGAATGTTTCCTGCCTGTAGTCCTGCTTCTTCCACATCTCAGTGTGTGCTGGACATTTGTAGGGTTTGGCTCCTGGCATTTGCTAATGTCACCTCCCGGGGGAGGACGCAGGCCAGAGGGACAAGGCCTCACTGGCTGGACCCGGGCCATGTTTCTGGGTGGGCTCTCTTCTCTATGCCCACTAGTTGCTGTCTTGTTTCTCTGCTGGGGTCCCTTCTCTCAGTTCCCTGCCCCACCTCTTCTGTCCCAAGTGCCTTCTGTGCCCCCCACCCCCGACGCAGGCTTCTGGGCCCCTGGGGGTAGCCGCTGGCACCGGCTGGGCTCGGTCATGGGTGTGGCGCCGCAGCCCCGGGGCTTGTCCGCCTGCGATCGATGGCTCTGCCCTGGACTCGAGCCCAGCATGAGCGCCTGGGAACCACGGCCCAGCACCTTCACCCCCTGTCCTGCTCGGTCCCCACAAATACCTCCAGGGATGGGTGCGGCTGTCTATCCTGGGCAAAGAAGGGACCCAAGTAAGTGACTTCCCAAGGCTGAGCAACTGAAAAACTGCGGGCCGTTCCTCATTCCAGGCAACGTCTTTGGCAGAAACCCTTTGTCAGGGGAGAAGTGGGGAGTGTGCTCAGGGCGAGGGGAGGGGGGCTCTCGTCCCTATGAGAACCGGCTGTGGCACCCAGGAAGGGACACCTGACTAGTCACAGGCATTGCCTGAACGCCTGCCCTCGCTGGGCCACGCCCTGTGTGGACACTGGGACTGGGGTCAGGAAGGCAGGCTTCCTGGAAGAGGTGAGGTCTGAGCTGACTGTCGCTGTACGTGAAGGAGCAGCTAAACACTTAATCAGCGCTGGGAGCAGGTGTTTTGTCACTGCCGCAACTCCGTGACATGGGGGATGGGGTCATCCCAACAGGTCAAGGAGCAAGGGCCAGGGAGGGCAGAGGCTTGCCCGAGGGCACTCCGGGCGGGGCGCGTGATGGGCAGAGCAGGCCGAGAGCCTGGTTCTCCCACCACGCCCAGAGCTGGAGCCCCCGGGCACTGGCGCTGCTTGGGCAAGGCCGCTGAGAGTGCAGGCGTCCCAGGGGAAAAACGAGAGGGCGAGCCCCCGGGACCCGGAGGCCGCTGTGTCCACTCTCCCCCCAGGTAACAAGAGAAGGTGCCCCGAGTTGCCTAAGGACCTAAAAATGCCAGGCCTTCCCCTGCGTGTCCTCCGAGGCCCGGGCGGCTGTGGAGCAGGGCGCAGCCTGCGGCCGCGGCCTCTCCCGGACGGCCGTCCCGTCGCATGTCGCATTCCTCCCCAGCCAGCTGTCAGGGGAGATGAAGGATGCGTTTTCAACCTGTGTGAAAACGCTCAATTCACGCCCGAGGGATCCCCGGGCCCCCTCAAAGCCCCCCTCACCCCGCTCCAAGCCCTTCGCTCCGCAGGGTGCTGGCTGTCATGGGGTGCTTGGGGAAGGGGGCGGGTGGGGGAGCCCTGGCTGCGATGGGCACGGGCCATGGTCGATCAGCCCCCAGTAACTGGGGGCCACCCTGGCTGGTCCTGAGTCCCAGCTGTCCGCCACCCTGCCTGCTCACCACGGCTGCTTGGAGAAAACTCTCTATACTGAGAGTCAGCTTTGCCAAAACTTGTTAACCTGCCAAAGCCAAGAGGAACTAGAATGAGGGCCCAGCTGAAGTCATTTTTTAGACTCACTGGGTTAATTTTGCATCCAGTTTGCCTAACCCTGGGGCCCGTGGGTACCCGGCAAGGTCCACTTTGCAGCTTCTTGCAAGTCAGACCCTCACGTCAGACGTGACGGGGGACCGAGCAGGCACAACGAGCCTTGTGACATCTGCCGTGTAGAGGGTGAGCCCTGTGTGCGTGGGGACTGTTCCCACCAGGCAGCGACATACAGTGCGCCGTCCAGCATTTACCGAAGGACACGTTCGCGTGGGCGCAGAGGGCCAGCAGCCTTCGGAGGCCCACTTCCACGGCCCCAGCAGGGCCGGCCCGGCGGCGCGCGGTGGGGCCGGGAGTTCGTGAACAGCCTCCTAAGGTGCTGTCCCGTTTTCGAGAGAAAACAGCTGTGTCCGGCCACGGGTGTGTGTTTGAGATTCATAAAATTCAACTGTATTGGAGGGTGTCCCTAATAAACTAAGAGTAGCCCCAGGACTTTAGCTGGTGAGATCCGCCAGCCCCAAAACAACCTGAAATAGACACGGCTCCTTGTCCTTTCCTGATAGTATTTTGTTATTTTGGTCTTCGCAGAATTCACAGGAAGGCACTGCCTTTATTAAAGCAAGTATGAGCACAGAACGAATCCATGTAGAGGGGCCTGAGGTGTTAGCTTTGGGCCGCCTCAGGTTTTTCACCAGCCTTTTCCCTTAAACTGTGCCATGCCCTTTCCAGCCTCAGGGCACGGACGCATCTGGGTTTCGTGTGGCTTCACCGCTGAGAGGAGTAGTGTCAGACCCAGCGGCTCCCCAGAGCCTCTCCCAGCACTGCCCCTCCCTCCCCCTGAGGACTGGCTGCTGGAGAAGGTCCACGAGGAGCTAACGCTGGCCCCACCAGCTCGCCTGTGGTCGGGCGCGGGGAGGGGACAGACCCAGGATGGGGGGAGGCCTGCAGGGCAGCGGGACTCATCGGTGAACCGGCCCCTCCCTTCCACGTCTGGTGAGCACCTACTGCGCCCTGGGCGATGGGGATACAGTGTCTGCCTCTCCGGGGCGTGTCCCCAGAGTGAGGGGAGAGCGCAGGTTGAGGGGTGCTGTGGGTGCAGAGCTGGGGCTGCCCCTGCCTGGCACGTCAGGGCAGG